CTGGGGTTGTTCAGCCTGGAGAAGAGGAGGCTGAGGGGAGACCTTCTCGCTCTCTACAACGACCTGAAGGGAGGGTGTAGCTGGGGGGGGTTGGTCTCTTCCCCCAAGTCACAGGTGATAGGACAAGAAGAAATGGCCTCAAGTTGCACCAGGGGAGATTCAGATTGGATATTAGGAAAAATTTTGACACTGAAAAGGTTATTAAGCCTTGGGATGGGCTGCCCAAGGAAGGGATCGAGTTGCCGTCCCTGGAGGTATTTAAAAGCTGGGCAGATGTGGTGCTGTGGGACATGGGTTAGTGGTGGCTTTGGCAGCATTAGGTTAACACTTGGACTCGATCTTAAATCTCCCAATCTAGATGATTCTATGATTCTGTTGTTCTGTTCTTGTTGCAACTTGTTGCACCTGTAATCAGAGCTGGTATATTTTTCTTTTTGTAATATACAATTTATTTCCTTCCTTATTCTTCTTCTATTTGAAGTCTTCCTGAAAATAACTCTGTGTCACGAAATGCTGTAGCCTTATGAATCAAAAGCAACTTTCTAAAATAAGACAATACAAAAGCATCCTGAATCTCTCCAGTGGACTAATTTCTCCTGTTCTGCTGAAAAAAAAATAAATAAGTGAAAAAGCTCCTTGGCATTTCCCTAGAGGTGCATGGTATTATGTTCCTCAGTGTTTTTCACCAGGCATGGCAAAAGCCTGTTGCATTGATTTGTTGAGCAAGGAAAACAGTGCAAATGCAGAATTAGCATGTTTGTTCTCTTTGACAAAAGCCGAGGTTGACAAGAATAAGTTAAGATCGACACTTCAAACCTTACAGACAAAATAAATGCTGAGGTCATTTTAATAAACACTTTCTTTCTCTCAGACAAATCCTTCAGTATTTCTTTAGCCCAGCTGTTAACTCTTCTGTGTCAACAGCGTTTGGAGAGTTCTCATCTGACCTGGGATCAGGCTAAATCAAGTGACACCGGTGACAATTACATTACTGGGGTAAACAGTGGTGGCCTTGGAAAGTCACACACTGGCTCAGAACCCAGCCACTCCAAAAGTCCCTCTGGCAAAGGGCAGGAGACCTGCCAGGGCTCCGAGGTGTGACCAAAACCCCCGGGGACGGGGTTGCAGTGACTGCAATATTACTCTAATCAGTAAAATAAAAGCTTCTTTTCATCAACAGCTAATCATAGGACTTCATTTGTCTCTAACTTCCTTCAGTTGCCTTGGCAGAGCACAGCAACATAAATAAGAAATGACAGTTTATCAAAGAAGGTTAACACGAGGTTGCGACCTTTTTTAATTTGACTTCTGGAGCTCATTCATGTGTGAAAACGTGCTTTTGTAGCTGTAGCCTCAGCATCTCTTACAGGTCTGGACTTGTGCCAATGACTGAGTTTTAAAATGGTGTTTATGTTTGGAAAATATAATTTCTGCTTTCTGTGATGTTTCAGTAGGATCGTTTTGCATTAGTATAAAATATAAAATGAGAATATCTGTGCGCCTCGCAGAGTATCACATAAAGAGTCAGTGGTACCTCTGCTTAACAAGTCGGGAGGTATTGCCCAAAGGTAAAGCTGATTTGTGCGTGCACAGACACACACATTTCCTCTCCCTTACTCACACCAAGATACAGCTTTCTGAGCAAATCCACCCACGGCCGCTAACCAGACTGCCCCCGAAACGCTGAACGCTGGTACAGATTCATAATGCACAGAATCAGGCTGACAGTCATATCCTAATAAATGTCAAATATTAATTTGTTGTATTATTTGTGCAGCGATTTAAATCCAAATCCTTTCTCATCATTACTTTCCATCAGACACATGAGAAGTGAGAGGTAAGCATGAGCTTTCTGTCAAAATCTGTAAAGCCTACGCGACTATCTGCCAGAAAACATTTCCCTGTCAGATAAGAAAACTGAAGTTCTGTCCATGAACACCGGAGACTAAAATCTGCAGTACAACATGTAGATAATTAGTTTTGAAAGGCTAATCAGTTCACTGCGCTGGCTGGCATTTCGATATAGATGCACATGCCTTCACCTGACTACAACTTACCTCTTGATGTAAGCATCCCTCAATGAAGCCAAGTAAGACTTTACATACCACGTAACTCTGAATGATGTATCCTGCCAGAAGTCAGTTAGAAAAGATCCTCACAGGCCTGGGAAGGAGTACGGAGCCCACGGGATGGGACATCCCAGGCTGTGCTGCTCCATCCCCTTCCCCACATGGCTCTAACCAGCTGCAGAACCACCCCGGAAAGGCAAGGTTTAGTTAATGCTGATAGTAATAGCTTATTTTAAGATTATCATCTCACCTATTATTATCTCAGCTGTTGTCTTGTTCACATTCGTGGAGCCTTGTGTCTTGCAGACACCTTTGACGCCCCAGAAGATCGAGATGCTGAGCATCCCCAGCTCATTCTAGCTGTGAAATTAGGCCCTTGAGTCTCCCAACATTGCTCACAAACCCCCCAGCTATTATTGACCAAATCAGCAGTACCCTTCATTATGTTGTTGGATTAGTAAATTGTTATCTGATTCTCCTTTCTTAGAATTAAACAGCTGGAAATGGCTAAAATCATATTTAAAAAAAAAAACCCAATGGTTATTTCCTGACAACATCTTTTCTTTTTGTCAGAAGGATGTTCTATTTTGTTTCTGAAAAACAAGATCAATCTCTGCACTAATAATGACTTACTGAATAAAATCTGTACTGCTTCCATAGTGCTTTGTTAACGATACACCTTATTTGTACCTTGGCTTATAAAAAAATCTGTACACCAATTGATCATTTCAGTCACCAGTGAAATAAAACCAACCATGAGACAGATAATGGGAGCAGAACAATAGTACACATCTATTTAATGCTCGAGTTTAGACTAAGGAGTAACATAAAGCACAATGATGCTATAAAGAAAGAAGGAATTTAACTACCCAGAACAACTAAAAGCCTTATTCCTCCAAAAACGCTGGCAAACCTGAATGAGAAGCTGTTTTGCACTCATCTGCAAAATGACCCCTTTGAGCAACACAGAGGCATCAATAAAACACCAATTCAGTGTCATGTCCTGAAAGACCAACACCTTTCAGCAGCACATGCAGTTCTGTTTGGAAGCTCACTTTTCCCTTCTGTAATAATCAACCATGAAGTTACTTATATTGTAACATCAGATGGCTAGAAGTTGGCTGAAGTTGACCTTCTTGCAAGTCAGGATAGCCATATGCTCGTCGTCATTACCACCTCCACAAAAGCTAAGGTATAATTAGTGTTATTGCTATGTTCACTTTGTTCTATGACTTGAGCTTTTCTGGTTTATTGTACGTTTCCTTTTTTGTCTGAAGATTTCCAAAAGCAGCTTCAAACCAGCTAATACTAATGTTCTCCTGTAATTCCTGGTTAGATAGTATATAGTATAAGAATCAAATATCTTTGGCTCTGTATGAGGTTTTAAAGAACGTCAAAATACTAGTATTTAAATTATAATTTATGATTAGAAGAATCATGCTGAAAGAACACTAATTTAATTGTTTTAAAGGAAACAGGTCCCTTGCATGCTAACCAATTTAGGACTACAATGAGTAGGACCCCTGCTTTCAAAACCTTAGTTTTTGGACAACTTTTACACAGATCTAAAAGCGGTAAGTAGTCATCAACATACAGACCCATACGTTGGTTCATGGCATATACCAACCGGTCCCCAAAAGAGGTAAGAGAGAGAGGCTGAGGTGAAGAAGGTGTGAGTCGTGGATAGTGTTTCTGGTTTGAGCTCTCAAAAGGCCAAAATGAAAACCTGGAGGACCATAATGAAAAACTTCAATCAAAAGAAAATAACCATCTACAGCTTATTTGCACTGTCAACTTGGATATCAAATGATAAGTAGCTGTGGAAAATAATTCTACCATCTTCTAGTGAAAAAAAGGAGTGCAGCAAAATAAATTATAAAGCTAGGGTAAAGCATATGAATACAGCCAAGAAATACATTGCTTTGCAGAAACCTTAAAAAAGATGAAGAAAATGATAAAATGAATTCCTGGCGTAAGGGTATTTGTGAGATACTATGCAATAAGAAAAGCCAGAAAACATTGTTTCTTGTGAAAAGCTGGTAACACACTTCATGAAAACCTACCTAGCACTTTTCCTCTTGTGATAATCAAAACCCGTCAACAACATACTTACTGCAGCAATGAAATGCAATGGAGGGTGCAATCCAGGCACCCAGCCAGCGCACACAGATCAGTCATTACCTCTACTGGAGGTGAACTTAAGAAGGAACTGCTCTGATCTGCCATACAGTACACCTCGGCTACTTTACACCTAATCTCCTCTACCTTTTGTGTCTGATGATGTGACAAATGTAGTGACTGTGGGTCAGCAGATGAGGTGGGCTTGTTTACACCCACTCTGTGTTTACCAGTGCATCTTTAAGAAGTCATTATGTGTTCTGACATAAGCTTATGCGATGTTTTGCTCCTGCACAAAGTCAAGCTTTTGCATAAGAACAAATTTTACCCCATAATGCATTAACTAGACTTGTATTTCCCTTAGGAAGACGACAAATGGGTTTACGTAGCATGCGGTTTTAAATCCTTTTTTTATTTGGTTAATCTCTAGCTGTGGAATTGTGATTGAAATGCAAAAATGTATGTGTATTTTCTGATAAGAACCATTTTGTTTTAGAGACAGATGAAGCGTTATCAAACATATACACTTTCTTCAGGTTTTTAAATTGATGATGGAAATTCCATAATCAGAACATGGCATAGCCAATGCAGGTTAAGCGATAACATTTTTTCAAAAAAAAAGAACAAAACCCCAACCCTTTGAAGTGTTCTTACAGTTACATCTTCATAATCCAGACATGAGAAGATCTGCACTCCTGACAACTCTGAGTATACGCTCTTCAGCTGGCTCCAGATAAAAGCCAACATTTCCTTTTCCTTTCCAATGTCTTCTCTGATTTCTTAATAGCAGTGAGACACAGTATAAAACATTACCTCCACAGGATTTTCCATCTTCCTCCAGTTTCTGGCCAGCTGGACATTTGCAGTGGTAGCTGCCGATGGTATTACAGCACTGGTCATGACAGCCACCGTTCTCAGTGGTGCACTCATTTATGTCTGTCAGGAGAAAGCATTAGGTGGTGAGTCAAGAGTGGGCATTGACCGTGTTACCTGGTCATTTGAGGACAATTTTGTACAATTCTGATGTGATGGAGTGAAAAAATTACTGAGACATACAGCTAAGGACCCTGAAGGTAAGCGCTGCAGCAGTGGCCCCCAGCCATGTTGCTGTGCCCCCCAAAACAACCAGGAGGAGCAATGGTGGGAGTGTTCCTCGCCTTCTTCTGCTCAAGTTAAGTGGTAGCATCCACCCAGCTCCAGCTGCAGGCTCTACCCATCTTGCTAACTTCCCAATTCTGTGCAGCAAGATCAGGAACTATTTTTGTACTGTCCTTCCCACCAGCTCAATTGTATATGCTTCCAGCAGTTATGGCTGAGATAAGAAACCTCTGAAAGATGGTAGGACAATTAAGGTCCTTCTTTCCTTTCAGATGTATGTGCACTACTGTCTACACATCTTACTTATTCACCTGATCAAGTTAGTGCTTGCCTGCATGATTTTGAATAGGAAAAATTAGGTAAAGATCTATACATTATAAATGAAGAACATTAAAGAGCCACATAAATAAATAGAGTAGCCAATGGCAGAGAAAAATCAATAGTGAAGACATTTACTTTTATATACCCTGCATAAGAATTTCTGAAGAAATGTGATTGAAATCATCAGGCCAGTAATGCTGCTCTGTTGAACAGGATCAGAGACAACAGATGGTATGGAAATATTTCCAAACGAGAAAATTTGTCAAATGGGACAGTAAATATAACAAAACCAGCAGGTATTTGCTGCACTGATTTCATGTATTCTGGAACGTGTACTTGAGCAACGCTTTCTTGCTTGCTTTGCTCTCTCTGAAATGTTAATATCACACAGACACGTAATTCTTCACTGCAGGGGCAAGCAGGGACAGCAACAAACCTGCTTATGAGTTAACGGGCCGTGGGTGTCTTTGTCTCAATTTTTTGACAATGTCTTGTCCTGGCTTGCTGGCAGAGCCAACCTCCTCAGCATGGTGGTAAGGGGAAAGCCAGGGCTAAGGGGACACACCACGTTCTCAAAGCCCGGCACAAGGACACAGGTGACAGATCTCCCATCCTCAAAGCCTTTGGAGAGATCCCACATTACATTCAGGCTAGAGAGCAAGAAAAGCAGGAGGAGGAAGATGAAGCAGCAGAAGATAAGCATCGTCATGACTGTTAAAAATCGCAAGCAGTTACTTGATATTAGCGGCACTCTGCATCCCCAATGGGGAAATGCAGCTTTTTTAAAAACTTCTAATTAGGCTCCAGTCAAAAGAAATACAAAGCGCTGTAAAGACAAATCAAAAAAAAAGAAAGAATTCCACATTCACACAAGAGAGATGAGAGCCTTTCAATCCTTAGCTGTTAAAGTCTAAGATTTACTGAGGTTTGTTAGTTCGTCGATGAGCTCAAGCTCAACGTTACCAGTTTATCTCTGATCCTGGCTAAAAACCAGAGGTTAAAAGAAATTTTTGGGGAGGTTTCAGACTATAGAACAGCTAAAAGAAAAATGTATCATGAATGTATCATGAAATGTATCATTACATTTACTAAAGTGCAGCTGAGGAGGGACAAACTCACTAAACCCATCCCATTTCACCGTGGGTCTAAATTCAGTGTAATGACCAACACAACAAAACATTCTTTGTCCTCAGTGATACTGTAAAACACAGGCAAGTTATGTGTATATATATATATATAAAAAAAAAAATCAGAGCTACGCAACAAAAGAAATCCTAACTTGCGTGAAGTCAAAGCACTTCTCCTGATTTCATACGAACACAATTTAGACAGAAACTTTTCTGAAGAAAAACACTCCCTCCTGCTCCAAAATGCAAAAACAAATCGTACCAAAATAAGACATTCGTCTGTTCACTTCTCTTCAGCATGAGACGGGGAGAACATATGACAAGCGACAGATTTTAGACATATTCCTCAAAGCGCTGGAAGAAGGCACGCTAGCGCCCAGCATCGTGCAGAAGAGCGACAAAACAGGCATGTTCCAAATGATTTACTCCCTCTAAGTAGCAGACATCTTGATGTGCCTTGTGGTAATAAACAGTAATGAGCCACATAATAACCCTGCTCCACAGCTTCGACTTCTATTTATACTAACAGTATTGAAAACTAATAAAATCTCTTGCTCTTTTCCTTTTTTTTTTTCTCTTTTTAAAAACAAAATAATGGGAAGAACTGCTTTAGTCTTCTACACTGTATTTAGCACCTACAATGCCACATGGCCTCCTGGCATAACATATTGGCTAAGTGATGGGGTCTACAATACGCAGCCCAATTTATTAACACCACTGTCTGTATTTTGAACCGAAATATTGGAAGGAAACCTTTCCAGCTAAGGAGCTAATCATTATCCTCTTGATTTCACTAGGGTATAATACATTCGGAAGTGTATAGTGCTATTGCATACTAATGTATAGAATGTTTTTCCTTTTGATTGCAGCGTGTTTCTATTAGCAATCAGAAAGCTTTTTTCTCTCTCGTGGTCCACCTATGAATTTTGCCTCCCCCCAAAGTATCGGTGTTTCATGACTGATAACCTCATCATCTTCTCCCAACCCTCTGTCTTCTTAATGGTCTGTCCAGGATTTCCTTGTCTCTGCCCCAATACCTGTTTTTCAACCTTTCATGAAATGTTTTCATCCATTTCTTTGCTGCTTTTTACACCAGAAATCTACTGCTTTTTCTATTATGTGCGGAAAACCTGACTTTTCATTCGTATGTCTTTTTAAAACAAATACTTGAAGCTAATCATCATAACTCAGAAATTAAATTATAGTTTAAGACACAAAAATAAAGCTTTTTGATACAGCTTTACACCTATTAGAAAGCCTTCAACATTTGAAGGAGTATTCTCACAAGGCATAAACTGCTCTATTTTTAACCTTAGTGTTATGAATATTTGCTCCCTAAGCATCTACATCCTTTGCTGCACTGTCTCCTGTACAAGACCTTTTCCATCGCCCGTACCCTGCCAAGTTGTTTTGTACAACCCAGTAATAAAGGTCAGATGTTGCCTCAGTCCAAGAAGCAGAAAAATAAATGATCTGAACGTGAAGTAATAAAGAATGTGTTTTACATTTTTAAAAAGCTCTTATAAGCTGCAATCAGCTGTTGTATATTCCTAAAACACAGAGTAGTCAGAATTTGAAAATCCGATTACAGCTTTGCCACTGTAAAAAAAAGGAAAAAAAACACAACAAAAACAGTTCCATCAAATGATAAATTTCTGTCTGCTTTCCATATTCAATGTCATTCAAGGTTGCAAATATATTTGCCTTTTGAATAGCAAGAAAAATGACAGAAAATTTCTGACAAGTAACAAGTCTGCCAAGTTAGGTCTGACAAAAGTTCAATGTTATCAAGACTATCAATCCATCTGTAATGACATGTTGTAGGCGCTTCAAAAAACCCAACAAATGTGATGTTTGCTACTGCAATGCTTCACATTTATTTATAGAGCCAACATTGCAACACAAAAACATTATCTGTGGGACATACTCTATGTGAGCGTTCAATCCTGCCACGTGAAGTCTTAAAGAAATTTTTTAAAAAAGGAAAAACTTTAATCTAGATTAACTTGATGTTAACTTTATATGCGATCTGTCTACAACATGTGTAGAAAAAAAAATCCACAGCGTATTTTAAATCCACTAGCATTCAAAAATATGGATTGTAGACGTACCTCTGTCCCACGCTTCCTGCACATGTGGAATTATAGAACTGCACTATGTGAAAAGGTTTTGTGGTGGTTTTTTTTACCTAAAAATCTCATCAAATATTTGATATGTAGGGAAGCGTGCCTTTTTTTTCATAAAGCTGACCACCTTTCCCCAATTAAGTATGCCTAGGAGCTTTATGCTAAATGAAAAAGGACTGATTCCAATCCCTTTACGCCTGTATTCTTGTTTAATGCTTCTCACTCCCTGCCTGAAAATATCACAAAGCAGAGCCACCCAGGGAAAACAACCCTTCAACCAATTTTTTATGCAAGTCTAAGCTATTTCAGATTTCCAACAGATAAATGAAAACTTTATATAAAAGCAGACAATGGACAAAGTGGGTTTTTTCAGTAATTCCAATTTTAAATCTAACAGAAGTGACCTGCACTATTATTAGATCTCAAATGTAGCATCTAGATGAAGAAAAAAAATCTAAAAATTTTTTTAAAAATCAGTTTTCTGCTGGAAAGGAGAACATTAGTACTCAAGTCTCCTCCACACACCTCTGCTGAGCTACTGGTGAGGGCTGGAGCTCTGCAGATCCTTGGCATGGAGCTGAATTTAGCATCTTTACACAGTAGGATGGGCTGGTGCCTGCCCTGACAGGAGGACCAGGGAAGGAGAAAGAATCTGCACCCAGCATGAGAGAGAAGGAGAGGCCATTGTACTGCAGCAGGAAAACAACGGAGGGAACTACCAGTTAATTTTGGTTTGTATGTTTAGATCTATAGGACCAGGGAAGGAGAAAGAATCTGCACCCAGCATGAGAGAGAAGGAGAGGCCATTGTACTGCAGCAGGAAAACAATGGAGGGAACCACCAGTTAATTTTGGCCATGGTTTGTATGTTTAGATCTACGGGACACACCAGCTAACCCACTGCCTACAGGTTAAAGCGTTTTAAAGTGTATTTTACCTGTGTAACAAGTTTATGCAGTAGGTATTAATATAAAAAATCATTTTTAAGATAACAAAGGGAATCTCATAACTGCAGCCCGCTATTTTAAAACTTAGTTTCCTAGGTTTCTGTATTTATCAGCTGCATAGGAGCAACAACTTTATTTATTTAATGCAACCACATGCAAACTTGCCGTTTCAGTCACCAGCCTTTGGGGCTGACCCGTGCTCTGACCCATAAGGCACTGACTTCAGTGCATGTCAGAGCTCGCTGGTCTTGTAATAAATCACTGAAGTGGAATAAAATCTGTAAAATCATTCACATTGTTATTGCAATACCACAGGAA